AAAAAATACATATTTCCATGCAAAAAAATGTACCGCTTTGAGCACAGAAATATGGACATAATCAGAGCGCTAGGGAGGTTACAGGTGTGTGTGGAGCTTAATTTAAGGTATGAATGTTTCACATCTAAGGTTGCTGTAGTACATGATTGCTCGTTACTGTCATGTTAACATGCTGCCAGCATCCATTTTGGACTAAACTGCAAGTGGGCTCCATTCATTCCATTTGGTATACCATACAATAAACATTTTTTATTTCAGGTACTTATATAGCGCCGTCAATGTACGCAGCGCTTTACATATATATTTGTACATTCACATCAGTCCCTAACCCTCAAGGGGCGTACAATCTAAGGTCCCTAACTCACATTCATGTATACACATACTAGGGACAATTTAGACAGGATCCCATAAATCTACCAGCATGTCTTTAGAGTGTGGCAGGAAACCAGAGTACCCGGAGGAAACCCACGCAGGCACAGGGAGAACAAAAAACTCCAGGCAGGTGGTGCTGTGGTTGGGATTCAAACTAATGACCCTAGTACTGCCAGGCAAAAGTGCTAACCATTTAGCCACTGTGCTGCCCATATCCACAAACAAACATATCCTTCAATCCATTTGGTATCCCATACAACAAACATTGGAGGATTCTGGCAACATACTGGGCAGAAGGATGTCTTCCTTGCTTGTCATTCTCAAAATGATCCTTTTGCAGGGGTAGGCAACCTTTTAGAGGTTGAGATCTACCTGGATAACATGGAGGAAATCAAAGATCCTCAGGGAAGGGGGGGGGGGGGTTGTTTGGCTGGGGGGCTGTCCTTAAAAAAAAAAAACTACGAAGATCCCAAAAGAAAGATATCATGAAGAACAGTGTGTCAAGGTGGTGTCTTCTGCACCCCCTTCACATCACCCCCCCCCCCCCCAGTAATGTCCTCTGCCCCCTTTACATCACCCCCCCTCCCAGTAATGTCCTCTGCCCCCCCCCCACTTAGCAGTGTCCTCTGCCCCCTTTACATCACCCCCCCTCCCAGTAATGTCCTCTGCCCCCCCACTTAGCAGTGTCCTCTGCCCCCTTTACATCACCCCCCTCCCAGTAATGTCCCCTGCCCCCCTTTACATCACCCCCCCCCCCCCCTCCCAGTAATGTCCTCTGCTGCCCCCCCCCCCTTAGCAGTGTCCTCTGTCCCTTTACATCACATCCCAGTAATGTCCTCTGCCCCCCCCCCCCCTTAGCAGTGTCCTCTGCCCCTTCACATGACCCTCCCCTTGTAGTGTCCTCTGGCCCCATAGCACTCTCCTACCCAACGGCGTGTGTTCAGCAGAGCAGAGATCAGGAGACAGCATAGTGCTGGATGAAAGAAGGGAGCTGCTGGAGTTAACATTTCATGATAACAAGCTGGTGATTGGTTGCTAGGACCACCTAGCAGCCAATAACATGCTGGTGTATTTGAAAGGTTCAGTGAAGTAGCTCCCGCCTCTGCCCTCCATGGAGCACTATGTGCCTCCTGCTCTCTGCTCTACGGTGAACAGGAAAGCGGCAGAGGCTGAAGGGAGGCAGAGCTGAGTTCACAATCTACCTGTTGGCTCCCTGCGGTTGACCAGTGGATCGTGACCGATGGCTTGGTGACCCCCCATCCTATTGCCATTAGTACAGTGGTTATGGATACAACTGTCTCTACTTCCCTGAGAAGGTTTTCCACCAGATTTTGGATTGCGTCTGTTGGAGTTTGTAGCTATTTAGCCAAAAGGGCTTTTGTGAGGTCAGGTACTGATGCAGAATAAGAAGACCTGGCTTGCAAACCATATTTCAGGATATCGTAAAGGTGTTCAGTAGGGTTGAGGTCAGGGCTCTGTGCAAGCCACTTGAGTTTCTCCAAACCAAATTCATCAAAATATCTCTTTATGGAACTGGCTTTGTACACGGGCGCGGCCATTCTGCAGCAGAAAAGGGCCTTCCCCAAACTGTTCCCACAATATTGGAAGTGGACATTTGTTTACAATGCCTTTGTATGCTGTAGCATTAAAAGTATCTATTGGTGTTTTTGGAGGAGTATTCACATAAACCAGCCACAAGACAAGGACACCCAGGAACAGTCCAAGCAGGTCTGTCCTGAAGTTTGTATTGAAAGATGCAGCAAGTGAGCACAGTTTCAATGCAGTAGACTCTGTATAGTAGGTCCATAGCACAAATATACAAAATATCTGCTCATCCTAGTAACCAACCTCAGGTCAGTTCCTTACTAGTAGGCTACCTCACAATGGGTTCCCCAATACAAATAGGCAGCACTTGAAACCTTTTTTTTTGTGTTTGGTCAGCCTTTTCACCCAACAGCAGGTTCCCGCAGCAGAAAAAGGGCCCTGAGCATCAGTCAGCTTACAAATATAAAGGCCTGTGCATAACTGAGACTAATAATGACATCTGGCTACTGGGTAAGATATGGTCCTGGGAATGAAGATTTATTCCCACCCAAAGCTCTACAAAGCCTTTGGGCTCCAGGACCCAGACAGGACTTTTTAAAATTTGGCGAAAACAAGTTTGATTGAGGTAGAATGAGAGAGAGAAAAAAACTGTTTTTCTATCTGCTGTAGGATTTATTTCCTTACCATTATATAATGATGTGTAATGAGTTGATAAGTCACAAATCTTTTCCGTCTGAAGATAGATGCAAAACTGCTGGTTTTGGCACTTGTGTTGATATTTACAGTATATCTCTCCAGTGCAGGGGCGGACTGACCATTTGGAAACGGGCACTGCCCGAGGGTCCGGGGTCAGTAGGCGGCCCCATGAGATGCTTTTTCATAGGCTTTTTTCAGTTTGGGCAAGGACACAGGGGCCCCATGATCCCCTATTGCCCAGGGGCCCCATGAGTTGTCAGTCCGCCCCTGCTCCAGTGAATGTTCTCTTGGCTGGTCCAATCCAAAGGGGAGCTTCCTAACAATGCAAACATAGTCTCTACTCTTTCCCTACTCTTTTAGAACCTCTCCCTGTCACTAGTGCTGTCCCTGGCAGACAGGTACCCTGTCCCTACACTAGCCACCCACACAAAGCCATAACAGGGGGGCAGGGACTTAAAAAGACTCTGTGTGACCCAATATGGCCAGGGGACTGAGAAAACCATAGAGAAAACCCAGTTTCCCCCACTTCTTCCTCCAGTTACATTGAAGCTTTGTACGAGTGCCACCTGCAATAGAGACCGAAGGCACCTGCCTACAGAGGGGATTTCACCCCCCATTTGGAGAGATTTTCATTTTACTTCCAGTTGTTTCTCTGTGACAAAAGAACAGAAATCTTAAAGATGAGACAGAGATAGCAAAAAAAGGAGAGGGGTAAAAAAAAATGGTGTTTTACATACACGTAAAATTTTAGGCACTTCTGCAGGTAGTAATTTTGCCAAAATAAAAGTTTAAAGGGTCTGATTCTCAGAATTGACTCATTATGTAATTCTTGGCAATGGTGAGCAACCAGGCTTAAGATCCTTAAACTCATTTCCTGTTCCTAAAACAATTTTATCTAACTCGGACAAAATATGATATTTCCTTTGTGAAAAAAACACCTATGTTTGAGATATGTCTTACATCACCCAGGCAGGAAAGGAGGCATTATTAGGTGAAATTGATATCTCCAGTAGGATCTTATAAAAGCTTCTCCTCGTGAACACAAAATATTCTAAGATCCAGTTTCCCATCATGTTCTGCGTCTCCAGAACACATAACCGTAAAGACTAGGAGACTATCAATGCCTTGGAATGTTTGGATTCTTTTCTCTTGGGTGGTCCCAATCCTGGGGTCACGGGGCCAATTGGTATGCCATTTTCCAGAGAGATGACATCTTCTGAAAACGAAAAGGTGGTGCTACTGAAGTGGGGATATGACCGAGAGATGCAGGAAATCTCATTTGAGATTCAGACGCCTTTAGCGACTTGGGTAGTTTTGGGCCTGAGCCCTGATGGAAAACTGAACACAAGTGATTTTGCTGTGGGTGGATGGGACAAAGAGGAAAAAACATTTTTCTATGTAAGTAAGCTATTTTAAAATAATATCACAGATATCTGTTGATGGCTTTTTTTTTTACCTTTTGAATGAAGTGTGGAAGGGGGAGAAAGTTCTTGGTATTGTTGGTGAGAGTGACCCCACTGGGAGACTTTGCCCATTTCCTGTCTTGGTGGCCACTGTCCATATGATAGGAAGTAAGGGGAAATCTCACTAAAAGTACACAGATCATTCTTTCACTTTACAGTAGTTTCCCCTCAATTCCCCCCTGGTGACAGGGGATACGTGATTAAAAAAAAAAAAATGTTTAAAGTTTCTAACACTGTTTGAAACTGAAGTAGAGGCTTGGATGATTAGGGGTCTTCAGAATTACAGAACACGTCCCGTTGAATGTGGCTAACTACTACTATCTGTACCATCTTCTTTTATTTTTCTTGATCTGAAGTTGCTTTCTGGGGGTGTAATAATGATAGTTTAGATTGATTTAATAGTTTTTTTGAATTTGTGTTTTTTTTTTTATTCGAATGAGTGTCAGGAACATTCCCCATCATTTATAGCCACACAGGTAGCACAGATACCTTAGCTAAACCATCATGGAATGTGTCAAGGTAGATGTTGATTGTCCATGTACAGGATGGGAGGTGTGAATGTTGTGGAACCCCCCAATTTTTGTAACAAAATCCCATCTTTTGGTATCAAGAAGTCAGGATATGTGTTAATTTTTCTATTCACGTGGCTGAAGGTGTCAATTGTTGTCAGATTGCTGGGGTAGAGATGGCAGAAATGGCATTTTGAAGAAATAAACACTGTCATTTCAGTTATCCCTTATTACTAACAGAATAGAGTGGGGAGAACTAGTGAACTACATCAATGCTTGGACGACACTCTGTTTAAGTAGATGCGCCATTAAGGACTCATTTGGCATCTCAAGGCTTCATTGTTAATTTGACTTGAACCTCCTTCTAGCAATATACTAGAGATATTAGAACATGGTAGCTTTAAAATTTGCTAACAAGTATGATCTGATGCAGGATGCTCATTTCAAAAATGAATGGCCTCCCGTGGTGGACAAGTCCCAAGACTATGAACTGCTGGAACTAAGCCGCAATGAGACCCATGTCGTTCTGAGGGTTTGGCGTCAATGGTTCACCTGTGACTCGCATGACCTGGAAATTGAGGTCAGTAAAGGAAGGCTCTATGGCAGTGGTTCTCAACCTGTGGGTCGCGACCCCTTTGGGGGTCGAACGACCCTTTCACAGGGGTCCCCTAAGACCATCAGAAAACACATATTTCCGATGTGTAAAAGAGCAGCTACTGTGTAGAAAGCAGCTGCTGTGTTGAAAGCAGCAGTATTGGAGGTAAAACGACACTTCATGAATTATAATTACTGGGTAAATAATTTTATGGTTGGGGGTCACCACAACATGAGGAACTGTATTAAAAGGTCACGGCATTAGGAAGGTTGAGAACCACTGCTCCATGGAAATCTCTAGTTTATTATACTGTAAATCTCTAGTTTATTATATCATGCTATCATCATTTTGTTTTATTTTGATGGAGTGATGAAAACACAACATGGAGTATTGAGTTGTCATGGTCCTCCCTGTTTGCTTTTGGCATTAATATTACACTTGTACAATAAAATCTCTATCCTCTCCGAGACTATCAGTATGACCTCCATGCCGTTTGGGTGGCTTGTCACTTCACCATGTAAATTTCCCCCTTTTTTGCTGCACGTATGTGCAATTATGTATCATCTGGCTGGGATGGGAGATGAGGTGAGCTATACTGAGATATATATACCAAATTGTTAAAGAGCGATTCATGTTGGCTGGTGTGTGTTATGAAGCGGACTTTGGTTCGCAAAACTCATAAAACATTTTTTTTGCTGACCAGCTATGGAATTTCTTACTTTTGGTCCATAGAGAAGATGCACTCTGACTCTAAGGGGGTTAATTACAAAACTGGGGAGTGCAAATCTGGTGCAGCTCTGCAAAAAGCCAATCAGCTTCCAGGTTTTATTGCCAAAGCTTAACTGAACAAGCTGAAGCTAGAAAGTGATTGGCTCCCATGTACAGCTGCATCGGATTCTCAGTGCTCCCGTTTTAGTAAATCTCCTCTGTTATTTTGTACAACTGATCAGAATTCTACAGATATGGACAGGGGCGGACTGACAACTCATGGGGCCCCCAGGCAATAGGGGATCATGGGGCCCCAGTGCCCTTGCCCAAACTCAAAAAGCCTATGAAAAAGGTACCAGGGGCATCTCATGGGGCCCCCTACTGACCTCGGGCCCTCGGGCAGTGCCCATTTACAAATGGTCAGTCCGCCCCTGGATATGGAACATTCTATTATACTCTGTTGACGCCGTGTACATTTGTTCCTTTGAGTAAAAAAATTGTATCCTTATGTGGGATTTGTAGCAGGATTTTATTTACGGATATATGAATGTTAATGGTTTTAAAAAGATTGAAGATATTTGAAGCTGTATAACAATACCTGTCAGGGTTCAGATATTTGGGAAGGGTGTCTGTATAGAGCAACATTACCAGTAGTTAATCATTTTAAAATCACATTAAATTTAACTTTAAAATTCTTTTTTCTGCCAGATCCAACTCTGTAATGAAAATAGGCAGATAAAGAAATCAACTGTACAGCTGTGAAATGATATATATTTGCTTTTTTTTGGGAGACGTATTGTATTGAAGCAAGGAGAATTCCCCTCTTAGTTGTCACCAGACTGGGTGTCCTCGCTAGATTTCCCCTCACCTCCTAACAACTCAAAAACTGGAGATTTTGCATCTTTTTTTTTTATACTGGGAGAAAATGGCCACCAGGAAAAAAGGAGTGATTCTCGCCATTAGGAACACAGACAGCATGGAAACTGAGATGGAAACGCCACACCAGAATACAAATGTCCAGACTCAGATTTATTCCAAGGCAATATATATTTTGTCACAAAGCCAATTCTTTTCGTGGGTTTAACACTCCCTCCTCATCAAGGCTTTATTGTCAGCAATGAATTTACAGAGATCCCAGAAAATGGTTACAATGTGACACATATTATAACCAAACAAAACAAAGCCCAAGCCGGGGGTGACTAAAGCAAACCACAGATGATGCAAATTTATTTCCTGCAGCCATGTGTTGCAGAGAAGAGAATCGCTCAGTTCCCTCATCAACAACCTTTCCTCCCAGCCAGGGGCGGACTGACCATGTGGGAACTCGGGCACTACCCGAGGGCCCGGAGTCAGCAGGGGGCCCCATGAGATGCCCCTAATACCTTTCATAGGCTTTTTTGGTGTGGTTTGAGTGTGGGCGAGGACACAGGGGCCCCAGGATCCCCTATTGCCTGGGGGCCCCATGAGTTGTCAGTCCGCCCCTGCTCCCAGCAGAACATATTCATGTGAAAAATCCGGCAGGCTGGTTATACTGAAGTTGATCGACTTCAAAACAACCAGCCTGCCCATAGATGGATCGAATCTAGGCAGGTCCCAGCTGACCTGGAATTCGATCCATCTATGGCCAGCCATAGATGGATCGAAAATCTATGTTACATTGTAACCACTGTACAGCATATCTGTGAATTCAATACAGGTGTACCTCGGTTTACAAACGCCTCGGTTAACGTAATTTTCGGTTTACGAATGAAAATCCATTGAAAATAATGGCTCGGTTTATGAATTTTTTTTTTCAAAATACGAACAGATTACTGTAATTGGTTTTCAATGCATTTACAAAATTTTTTTTAATCACCTCCCTTTATGCCTTTATAAAGAGTTTTGAACAGATAAAACTTTTTTTGACTTTTTCTGACCTCCGGAACGGATTAATTGGTTTTCAATGCATTTACAAATTTTTTTTTAATCATGTCCCTGTACAGTATTTATGCCTTTAAAGTGCACTTTGTAAATAGTTTTGAACAGATAAAATGTTTTTTTACTTTTTTCTGACCTCCGGAATGGATTAATTGGTTTTCAATGCATTTATGAATTTTCTTTTAATCTTATCCCTTTATGTCTTTAAAGTGCACTTCATAAAGAGTTTTGAACAAATAAAACTTTTTTTTACTTTTTTCTGACCTCCGGAATGGATTAATTGGTTTTCAGTGCATTTACGAATTAATTTTTAATCATGTCCCTGTACAGTATTTGTGCCTTTAAAGTGCACTTTATAAAGAGTTTTGAACAGATAAAATGTTTTTTTTTTACTTTTTTCTGACATCCGTAATGGATTCATTGATTTTCAATGCATTTACGAACTAAATTGTTAATCATGTCCCTGTACAGTATTTATGCCTTTAAAGTGCACTTTATAAAGAGTTTTGAACAGATAAAAGACTTTTTTAAAACTTTTTTCTGACCTCCGGAACGGATTAATTGGTTTTCAATGCATATACAAATTTTTTTTTAATCTTGTCCCTTTATGCCTTTAAAGTGCACTTTATAAAGAGTTTTAAACAGATAAAAACTTTTTTTTTTACTTTTTTCTGACCTCCGGAACGGATTAATTGGTTTTCAATGCATTTACAAAATTTTTTTTAATCATGTCCCTTTATGCCTTTATAAAGAGTTTTGAACAGATAAAGTTTTTTGACTTTTTTTCTGACCTCTGGAACAGATTAATTGGTTTTCAATGCATTTACAAATGTTTTTTTAATCATGTCCCTGTGCAGTATTTATGCTTTTAAAGTGCACTTTATAAATAGTTTTGAACAGATAAAATGTTTTTTTACTTTTTTCTGACATCCGGAATGGATTCATTGATTTTCAATGCATTTACGAACTAAATTTTAAAAGACTTTTTTTAAACTTTTTTTCTGTCCTCCGGAACAAATTTTTTGGTTTTCAATGCATTTAGGAATTTTTTTTAATCTTGTCCCTTTATGCCTTTAAAGTGCACTTTATAAAGAGTTTTGAACAGATAAAATGTTTTTTTTTTTACTTTTTTCTGACCTCCGGAATGGATTCATTGATTTTCAATGCATTTACGAACTAAATTGTTAATCATGTCCCTGTACAGTATTTATGCCTTTAAAGTGCACTTTATAAAGAGTTTTGAACAGATAAAAGACTTTTTTTTTCTGACCTCCAGAATGGATTCATTGGTTTTCAGTGCAATTACAAATTAATTTTTAATCATGTCCCTGTACAGTATTTATGCCTTTAAAGTGCACTTTATAAAGAGTTTTGAACAGATAAAAGACTTTTTTTTTAACTTTTTTCTGACCTCCGGAATGGATTCATTGGTTTTCAGTGCATTCCTATGGGAAACCGCATTTCGGTTTACAAATTTTTCGCAATACGAAAAGTCCGCAGAACGAATTAAATTTGTAAAGCGAGGTACGCCTACCAGTATTTAAGCCTTAATGAGAGAGTGCTGAGTCTCCGAAACATGTCAGCTTTGTAATCAAATTTATATCATCTTATCCTGGAATAAATCTGTGTTTGGATGATTACATTTTGGAGTCGCACTTTTATCTCAAATTCCCCCATTTTCAAACCAAGCAGATGGTGGAGATAGTCTGGACTGGACTCTAGACATCCTAGTTAAATATCCCTATGCAACACTAATGGGTGAAAACAAAAAAGAAGCTGCTAACCTCAAGTTCATAAGGACATGTATGGGAAGTGTCATGTTTCACATGACTGTCATATGCCTTTAAGTGTTTTCTATATTTTGTCTCTGCTCCTCCCTTTCCTCTGGTTTAGTTCATGCTGTATAGATAGCTCCACCCCTTTCCCCAAAATGCATTTCAGCTTCAAGCCTCATGTCATGAAGCAGATCACATTATGATTTTTTGACCTATCCGATGTTCATTGTTGTAAGATTCTCTCAGTTTATGGAATAAACTTCACAAGATCTTCAAGATGTCTTCTGGATTCAGTCACTGCCTGTGATATTCAACTAAGATTGGAGTTATCGCTATCTCATCACAACTGTAAGTTACAGAGATCACACTTTCAATGCTTAGATTGGAGAGACAGAACAGGAAGATAAGAAGCCAAAATCACCACATAGCATAAAACCATTCAAGGATGCTTTATTAAAATCACTCAAACTATTCCAATAATGTGTGTTTGATGTGATGTATGTGTATGTGAGGAGTTTGAGTGATTATAATAAAAGCATCCTTGAATGGTTGTATGCTATATGGTGTTTTTTTTGGTTCTTATCT